TTAAATAATTTTTTTATTAAATATGTCGGCTTTATATTGATCATCTGCCATCCCTAAGAAGTCAGTATCTGCCATCAAAAAATATATATATATATTGGTCGACCTCTAGTTACCATAGTCATTAAAAAGCTTGTAATTATTAGGGACTTGTAGGGAATAATAAAAGTGTAGCTTCCAGGCCTGGAAAATTCATGCAAATTTGTATCTTGAAAATTTTTATTATTTTTTTTCCCCCTTTCATTTGCTCAGCTCTTATTACAAATTAGCAAGAAATAGCTTTTTGAGTAATTTCTGTAAAATGTTTTTTGTTTTATTCAGTGATTGACTGGAAATGCATTGTTCAGAAGGCGTATTCTGTATATTTGGGAAAACCCTGTGTTTCCCAAGTTATTGCTCGTAATTCTCCATAACTGTACCTTCATGGGTCTCTGTTTTTCTTTTGTAGTTTCCCCACATTATTTGAGATTTTTCTAGTTTTCTTTCTTCATTTGCTAAATAAAACCATTAAGCAGCTCTCAACACACTACATTGAAGTCAGTTGTGTTAGCGTTTGATCGTGTGCTGGGAATCGTGTTTGCGTTTGTGGGGATGTTTGCTGTATGTGTGTGGAAAGAGATAAGACCTCGACATCCTCATCTGACTCTGTGCTAGCCAGGGTGGGTATTTTTAGCTTTGACTGCTTTTTCTGAACACAGGAAATAGACGCAAACGGTTGCCCACTGGCTCAGCAACAGTGCATATGTAGTGCGTTGGAGGTGAGGTCTCGTTTTCTACTCTACCACTCGTAATTGACAAAGCTGAGATCCTACCTAACTCACTGTTTAATAGGGTTGGGTAAAAAATATTGATTTTCTCTATTAAATCTATTCTAATTTTTATGAAACTATATCGATTCATAAATCCCAAGAATCGATTAGTCTAGCCTGTCAGATAATGAACGGAACATTGTAGCGCACCTCCCATCCAATAGACCCTTTTCACGATGTCAACTAACGGCTTTTCTGCAGTGTATCTGTACTTCTTTTATACCTTTACACCGGAGACTTCTCGGGAAAATGCGGGAACTACTTGAAATATAAAGACGTCCGTTATGAGTTAATACTAATAAAATTAATGTACTTGCAGTCGGGTTCTTTTGTAAGCGTTATTCTACATCTGCTTTAGATGGTTGGGAGGCTAGCTTGCAGCAACTGTAGCAATGTTATAGACTTGCTTTCAGATTTGTATGATAATGATTACGTATCCACACGAAATAAGTGTAGTACAGGGATATCCTGGACGAAAACCTTCTCCAGAGTGCTCAGGACCTCAGACTGGGCCGAAGGTTTACCTTCCAACAAGACAATGACCCTAAGCACACAGCTAAAATAACGAAGGAGTGGCTTCACAACAATTCTGTGACTGTTCTTGAATGGCCCAGCCAGAGCCCTGACTTAAACCCAATTGAGCATCTCTGGAGAGACCTAAAAATGGCTGTCCACCAACGTTTACCATCCAACCTGACAGAACTGGAGAGGATCTGCAAGGAGGAATGGCAGAGGATCCCCAAATCCAGGTGTGAAAAACTTGTTGCATCTTTGCCAAAAAGACTCATGGCTGTATTAGATCAAAAGGGTGCTTCTAGTAAATACTGAGCAAAGGGTCTGAATACTTAAGTATACTTAAGAATACCATTAGAGGGAATAATGGTATGTTATAAATCACCTAACTGTGATATTTTCAGAAATAGAAGTCACGTTTTGTTTTTCATCTGAAACGTGCTGCGATTTATATTCCAAAGCCACTCATATAATGCAGAAACAATCAAGCAAGCTAAACACACGCAACGCATGCACGTATTTGTACTGGTGCAGAATAGTACAGCCTATAGCGCATTTTACACAAGCTGTTAGATTCACTTTCGCCAGAAAGTCGTGTATGCCTAAGGTTAAAAATAAATGACATTTATAGTGAATGCCCCTATAAATGGTCTTATTTTTACGATTTAGTTTTAATCCAAATGATGCATGTACTAAGTGAGTGAACATCAAAGATCACACAACAGAATTGCGCGCGCGCGCTCTCTCACTCTCTCTGTCGTTAAGTAACTTGTGCATTGTTTTACTTGTTTTTGACGTATCCGACCGAACTACAAACTTTCCAGTGATGTCTGTGAGAAAGGTATATTCACTCGACAAGCTCGCGCATCTGCGC